CGTTCAGGCCCTGACAGTTTGTTGAGAGCGGGGAATAGGATCCGACCAATGCCAGGAATGTCGGGTGGCAGAGAGCGGAAAAGTACCAGGGTCCCCCCCCCCCCCCCCCCAAACCCCCCCCCCCCCTCCCCTCGTCTGAAAACACAGACAACCTCCAACTACAGGCTGAGAGCATAAACAATTTCCTTTTTTTGGGGGATAAAAACTCTAAAAAGGCTAATATAGCCATTGTTTCTGGACTATCGCCACCTGCAACATTTCCGGGGCAAACGATGATAACACCGGCGTTAATTGATCAGATTACCCCAAAGAAGGCAGCTGTGTTCACTGTGTGGGTCTAAGTTCACCCATGAGTCAAAGCAGGCCGAGTTTTTGGCCCCTTTGGTCCTGCTGCTGCTGCTGCTAGCTCCAGGGACTCACTAAACACAACAGACAGCCCTCATAGATGTGTTTTCACTTTTAAACCACAAACAGATGCTGCAAACATGACTTTTTATGTGCTACATGACCACTTTCCAAATAAAAACACCTGCCCTTGATCCAAAATGGCGGCTTTCAAAATGGCCAACAGAGACGTTAGTTTACTGCTAACAGGAACAGGAATGTTAGCTTACTGCCAAAAGAGACATTAGCTCACTGCTAACAGAGATGTTAGCTTACTGCTAAAGGAGATATTAGCTTATTGCTAACAGAAATGTTAGCTTACCGCTAAAAGAGCCATTAGCTTACATCTAATAAAGATGTTAGCTTACTGTTATCATAAATACTAGCTTACTGCTGACAGAGATGTTAGCTTACTGTTAACATAAATACAAGCTTACTGCTGACAGAGATGTTAGCTTACTGTTAACATAAATATTAGCTTACTGCTGACAGAGATGTTAGCTTACTGCTAGCAGACACATTAGTTTACTTCTAACATAGACATTAGCTTACTGCTAATAAAGATGTTAGCTTACTGTTATCATAAATACTAGCTTACTGCTGACAGAGATGTTAGCTTACTGTTAACATAAATACAAGCTTACTGTTTACAGAGATGTTAGCTTGCATGCGCTAAATGAATCATTGGCAGCCTGAAGTGAACTTTTTAAACATCAGAGATCTCGGAAAGAGACAGTTATTGGAGAAACTATGCTCCTGCTTTTACAGAAACCCTCTCTGATTAGTGTAGATTGTACTCAATGAAAAAAGGTAGAAAACAAATTAAAGTTCCTTTTTTTGTTGTTGCTCTTCCTTCAATTTTTAGTGTCAAGACAAAGATTCTCTTGTGAGCAATAATAAACTGTGTGCTGACCGAGGTCTTTTTCTTTATTTCCACTTTTGCAGCTCCGTCAGTTTGTTGTTAGATTTTTGCTTTCTGCTTTCTTTCAATTTACCTGACTTCCTGAAGGACCACACACACAACAAAAAAGTGAGGACAAAAACTTGTTTTCTACAATAAAGTGAAGAGAATAAACAAAAGGTAGTGTGCAGTTCAGTGTTAGCAGGATGTTTCTGCTCTGTAAGTGTTTAAATAAAAAAGAACATAAACAGTGAGGCTCTTTAGAGACACAAACAGTCCAATGTTAGATAAATTGGGATTATTTTCGGATTTTTTTTTGTCAGAGATGGAGCTATAGTTCGGAATAAGAGACAGAAGGTGGTTTCTATGGCTCTCCTCCAGAAGAACTCTGAAAATGAGTCAAAACCAGCCACAATGAGCCAAAACGAGCACATAGAGAAGGCTGTGACTACCCTCTGAGAATAAACCAGCCCTAAAGTTAAAGCTTTGACAAACAGGAAGGCAAAGTACAAGATGGGAAGTTGGAGACAAACCAAAGAGTTAAAATAAAGTGAAGAGGCTCAAATCTCTGAGTCAATTTGAGCCGAATGGGTACAAATACTTTTTAAAATTTTTTTATTTAAGAATATAATCGTGGCATTTTAAATGGCTGGACAGTTAATTCCAAACCTTGTCCTCAGGTCCCCTTTTTAATACGTCACTTACCTGTTATTAATATTAATGATAATGATAATAATACATTTGATTTAAAAGCGCTTTTCTAAACACTGTAAATGTTTATGTAAAGTATCTTTATGTAAAGACACTTTACATAAAAAGGACACCAAGTCAGCAAATATACACAAAACAATGTTGAAAAGTACAGTAAACACACTCAAACAGACCCTGAGCAAAACATTAAAAGCGTTTTTTTTTTTTATCTGTGTTGTTGTGGGGTCCTCCATCCTATCAAATTTTACCCTTTGATTGTATTTGACCCTTTGATGAGACTGATTTGTCACTGGTGAATAAAACAGGCTGTTGGAGGGATGTGGTCCCCTCCTCTTTCTGCTGTGAGCGAAATGTGTAACGTGATATTTTGATCTGGAGGCAGGACGGCTTTATGGGGCCGATTCCTGACGCAGCCGTTCGCTTACGTAACGGGAGATCTGCCCGGGACACTGTGTTCCCTTACCGAGGCATTTCTATACAAAGGCAGATGTGGCACGCTTCCAGGGAATCATTCACGGTCTGTCCAGAGAGGAGGAAGCCAACGAGGAGCAGAGCATCTCACTGTTCCACCCAGATGAGTTCCTCAGAGTTTACAGTACACAAAACTTCTGGCTCCATCGGCTCCTCGTTGCTGCATCTGAGTAAATGAGCGTCTGTACAGACCCACTTAAGAGACAATTTTGGTCTTTTTGATATGCTGCATGACCACTTTCCAATTGGAAACACCTGCCCTTGATCCAAAATGGCGGCTTTCAAGATGGCCAACAGAGACATTAGCTTACTGCTAACAGGAACAGGAATGTTAGCTTACCGCCAAAAGAGAGAAAATATCAGCAGATGCTTCGGATGGTTTCAGGGTGAATTTCAGATTGAAGCAGAAGCTTCAGCTCTCCTGGGTCAAACTCTGAATTCATAAAGCTGATTACGACTTATTCATCTCAATCAGGCACGCTAAGTTAGGCCGTTAGGTTTAGGAATCTCTGGTCTCACAGTTATCTACATCGATCATGTTATAGCATACAATGATAATGGGAGTGATTATAGCCAAATTCTAACAGGTTCAAAGGTCGCAGCTCACAATTTCTGTTCTCCCTATACGACCCGATATGAGATCTGACCTCACATCGTACGTCCAAAAACGCACGTCGGATTTGAAATAGAAGACTAAATTGAACAACACAGAAGGAACAAGATGGTCTCCAGAGCTAAAAGCTGCTTTGGGGATTTGAGCGATTGTGTGTAACTGGTCATTTTAATTGTGCAGCAATCTCCCCCCAACTTTTCTCTCAATACCACGATCCCCTCTCTAGGGCCGACCAGAAACTCAAACCGGTTTGATTTTCCTCCGACCAGACGATGTGGATCTAGAGTTGGTGACAGGTTAATGGCTGCTGGTTACTCTGTATGTACGAGACCATGTGAGACACCTGGAGCTGAAACTCCCGATCCAAGACATTCTCACAAGGGTAAAAAATGGTGTCAAAAAGGGGCAGAAATCGTCCGACTTAAACGGGACATTGGTGTGAGGCCTCAAAGTGGACGACAGACATCCAAACGGGCCCAATGGCCGACTCACATTTGACAGGAGAGTCCTTCCTTCTGGTCCTGATGAGAGGAAGGGTCTCCGGAGGGGCGTGGGTCCGGAGCCTTAACAGGAAATAACCCAGAATCCAACCCGGGCCTCCTCTGGACGAGGGAGGGAGTCGGGATCTGGGAGCCAGGTCCGATGTCCAAGGTCTCCCGGGGTCAAAGGTCAGAGGTCAGAGGTCGGAGGGGAAACCTGAAACGGCCAGATGTCCACTTCCAGTAAAAAATAGCTACCGGGTTAAACATTCTCCAGCCGTGGGGTCGGTGAAGCACCAGCCTTACTTTAAACGGCTTATTGGGACCCAGGGCTGGTGTTTTTATTTACGTCTTTATTTATGTCACGAGATAAAACTGGGAATAATTTCATTTTATTTCTACGTTTGACCTTAATGGTAAACCTGAGGTGGGTGGATTTTTAACCACCTTCAGTGTTGCACATGGCAGCTTTGTCATCACACATGTTATTTTCTTTCACACCTACCTCAAAATGTCATTTCATGGAGAAAAAGCAGTTGATTTAGTTCCGGTTTGAACTCAATCTTTGTTATATTTCTTTAATAAACAAACACATGTAGGGCATGAACACAATCTTCATCATAAAAAAAGAAAAACACACACTTTAATGGTATATATCATATATATAATCAATTTCACCTAAATGAATCTTGTTTAAATCAAATATTAAATCTGTTACATAGGCAAGTTGTGAATAATGAAACACACAGGCCAACATTTAGTTCAGTTCACTCAGTCAGACTGAAACTCAGACTTTTGATAGGATTATGTTGGATAAAATTAAATCGATTAATTTCCTAAAAGACGATGGCACAATGTGGGCAGAAAAGCAAATTATATCAACCCCCACTTTCAAACTTAACTATCCATATCCATCATATTATCCATATACTTATACACCAGCCTTTGATGGGATTTAGAGGGTTTGTTGGGAAACCGGAGCTGTTATAAACTTTTGGTTACATGTAATCTATTGTGTTCCAGATAAACTTTCCCCCAACTAAATGTCCCCACCTCCCACGCGCTGACCGGAAAACAACAAGTGACCGTAGGAACGGACTGTGACTTTCCCTGAGCTGCCACCTTTCTTTGAGATGTTGCTTCAACGGTCCTGGAAACCCTCCAAAGTCCTGGAAACCCTCCCAAAGTCCTGGAAACCCTCCCAAGGGTCCTGGAAACCCTCCCAAAGTCCTGGAAACCGTCCCAAGGGTCCTGGAAACCCTCCCAACGGTCCTGGAAACCGTCCCAGGTCCTGGAGTTGGCCGGTTGGCGTTGGTCCCGCCCCCCGGACGCTCTGATTGGTCAGTTCGGAGCACAGAAACACGGCTACTCTCCCGGGTCGGCACGGCTCGGATAAGACCAGTTATTGACACACAGAGAAGACAAGAGGCGAAGAAACAAGATGAAGTTCGTTCGCTTCATCATGAAAAACGCCGCTTTGGCCAGCGCGCCAAAACACATCGAGCATTTCTCCAAATTCTCCCCATCGCCGCTTTCCATGAAGCAGTTCATCGACTTCGGTGAGTGTTTTTCTCGCTACGTGGACAGATGGATGCAGCTTACGGCTGGATTTGTCTGGACTAAAGGCAGAGAGACCAGACCTGTGCGGTTTGCAGCCTCTTTTTTCGCAGCGTTGCATCAGACCCTCTGCAGCATTTGGGCCGTAAAACGCTGCTCTGAGCTGATTTATTTCAGCCAAAAACGCCTCATTTCAGATCTGATCTGGGTCTGCAGATCACACGTTATTAACTGCTGTCGATATTGTAATAAACAAGGCAAAAAAAACAACCGTCAGATGTAAAAAAACAGAGATAATGTCCATTTGTTGATAACTTAATTATGAGTTTTGGCTGTGCAAACTGTAAGAAAAGGCCCCACAGGCCTATTTAATTAGTTACTTTTCCTTAAAAACTTTCCCCTCTGACCTATTTCTTGTTGCATAAACTGTCTGTTGTTCACCAGTGAGCAGAAAACCCCTGTATTGGAGCTAAAGTTGGTCTGTTTTGGTTTGTTTTGCTCCCCCGGGCTGACTCAGGTTCCATAAACGCCTGTGAGAAGACCTCCTTCGTGTTCCTGAGGCAGGAGCTGCCCGTCAGGCTCTCCAACATCATGAAGGAGATCAACCTGCTGCCCGACCGCCTGCTCACCACCCCCTCCGTGCAGATGGTGCAGAGATGGTGAGGAGACGCCGCTTTGGGCCCGGATCCAGAGCTGGGATCCGGATCCAGAGCTCAGATCTGGAGCTGGGATCAGGATCTGGAGCTCAGATCTGGATCTGGGATCTAGATTTAGAGCTGGTATCTGGATCTGGGATCTGGATCTTGACCCCTGATCTGGTGCTCAGATCTGGATTTAGAGCTGGTATCTAGAGCTGGGATCTGGATCCGGAGCCCAGATCCGGAGCTCAGATCTGGATCTGGGATCTGGATCTTAGATCTGGAGCCGGGATCTGGAGCCTGGATCTGGGATCTGGATTTAGAGCTGGGATCCGGAGTTTGGATCCAGGGCTCAGATCTGGGGTTCAGATCTGGAGCTGGGATCTGGATCCGGAGCACAGATCTGGATCCGGAGCTCAAATCTGGATCTGGGATATAGATTTAGAGCTGGTATCTGGATCTGGGATCTGGATCTTGACCCCTGATCTGGTGCTCAGATCTGGATTTAGAGCTGGTATCTAGAGCTGGGATCTGGATCCGGAGCCCAGATCCGGAGCTCAGATCTGGATCTGGGATCTGGATCTTAGATCTGGAGCCGGGATCTGGAGCCTGGATCTGGGATCTGGATTTAGAGCTGGGATCCGGAGTTTGGATCCAAGGCTCAGATCTGGGGTTCAGATCTTGATCTGCGATCTGGGGCTAGGATCTGTGGCTGGGATCTGGATCCAGATCTGGAGTTGGGATCAGGAGTTGGGATCTGGATCCAGAGTTCAGATCTTGATCTGGAGCTGGGATCTGGATCTGGAGCTCAGATCTGGATTTAGAGCTGGTATCTGGAGCTGGGATCTGGAACTTAGATCTGGGCCCTGGATCTGGATCTTAGATCTGGATCTAGGCCTGGAACTGGGAACTGGGCCTTTTCCTGGCTGCCTGAGCTTGTTTATCTCCCCTCTCTCGTTACATCACAGTAACAGCAGCAGCCTTTGACCGGCCCTCTCTCCCTCCAGCTGGCTGCAGGCGGCTGGGGGGGGGGGG